GAAGCCTGCTTCTCCCTCTCCCACTCCCCCTGCTTGTGTTCCCTCTCTCGCTGTGTCTCTCTCTGTCAAATAAATAAATAAAATCTTAAAAAAAAAGATTTATTTATTTGAGAGCGCATGCACAAGTGCGAGTGGGGGCAGGGGCAGAGGGAGAGAATCTTCAAGCAGATCCCCCACTAAGTGGGGAGCCCAACTTCTGCTGGATCCCACCACCCATGAGATCATGACCCAAGCGGAAACTAAGAGTTGGTGGCTCAACTGACTGAGCCACCCCGGCGCCCCTTGCTATTCTAATTTAAAAATAGGCAATAGGTAATATATATGTGTGACACAAAATTCAAGAGGTACAAAAGAATATACAGAGAAAAGTAAGTCTTCCTCTCATCCTGGTTCCCTACTTCCCTTCTCTGGAGGCAACCTCTATTAGCCATTTCTTCAAAATCCTTCCAGAGATATAGAACATATTCATCTTGCCTAAATAATTTAAGGATGGAACGATACTAGAGATTTTATCTTTTCTCTTCTGATACTTTGAATTATTTTTGAATTTGTTCATCTTCTGTTTCTTGGTTCTCTTCCTCCTTATTGTTGTTATGTTCTCATTGTTGAATCTTGTCAGGAGAGAACGCGTGCCTAGGGCATTTGGAAAGCAGATAAGTCTTCTGGGACTAACCTAGTTGTTTCTTTTCTTTCTTTCTTTAACCTAGTTGTTTCTTTAAATTGTCATTAAAATCAATGTTTTGTTATGTTGGATTCTCTTGTGGATTTGAAGGCGGTATTATGGTCCTGGACAAAATTTGTTCCTGTCCTTTTTCCCTTTATTATAATGGTTTTCATACTTCCTGCTTTCTGGGGGTCCTGTCTTATGCAAAATATGCAAATGGTCCTACTGGAAGGATGTATTTTTTTCTGTATATCTCTGGCTCATTTTCTTTTAGATCCCATTAAACTCTGTAAATGCCTCATGGGCAGAAATTATATTTCATCTCTTTCATCATTATTGATTTTAAATTATATATATATATATTTTTTAAAGATTTTATTTATTTATTTGAGAGAGAGAGCACATGAGAGGGGGAGGGCCAGAGGGAGAAGCAGACTCCCTGCTGAGCAGGGAGCCTGATGCGGGACTCGATCCTGGGACTCCAGGATCATGACCTGAGCCGAAGGCAGTCGCTTAACCAACTGAGCCACCCAGGCGCCCTGATTTTAAATTATATTGATGGTATAGTAATATAGTTTCCTTGTAAAAAATTAAAAGATTATAGGTAAGGCTAAAGTGTCCTCTGATTACACCCTGATTTCACAATATCATCTCGAGAGATAACTATGGTTGTCGAGTTTGGGATACATCTGCCCAGACTTTTTTTTTTTTTAAGATTTTATTTAGTTGACAGAGAGAGACAGCGAGAGAGGGAACACAAGCAGGGGGAGTGGGAGAGGGAGAAGCAGGCTTACGGCTGAGCAGGGAGCCCAATGCGGGGCTCGATCCCAGGACCCTGGGATCATGACCTGAGCTGAAGGCAGACGCTTAACGACTGAGCCACCCAGGTGCCCCCATTTTTTTTTTAAAGATTTATTTATTTGGGAGAGAGAGAGTGTGGGTGCGATGAGTGGGGGCGGGGGTGTTTGTGGTGGTGGGGGATAGGGAAAGAATCTCAAGCAGACTCCCCACTGAGTGTGGAGCTGGACGTGGGCCTATCTCACCCAGAGACCATGACCTGAGCCAAAATCAAGAGTCAGACACCCAACCAACTGAGCCACCCAGGCGCCCCTGCCCAGACCTTTTATTCTCTGTTTACATAGGTATAAATTACCTGGACAAAATACATTAAATACACTTAGCAACATGGATGACTCACAAACATAATGTTTCAAGGGAAAAGGTCAAACTGCAGAAAAATACATGCAATATTATATTGGTTACATAAAGTAAAAAAATATGCAGAAAAATACTGTTATTTAAAAATATTTATCGGAGCGCCTGGGTGGCTCAGTCGTTAAGCGTCTGCCTTCGGCTCAGGTCACGATCCCAGGGTCCTGGGATCGAGCCCCGCATCAGGCTCCCTGCTCAGCCGTACGCCTGCTTCTCCCTCTCCCACTCCCCCTGCTTGTGTTCCCTCTCTCGCTGTGTCTCTCTCTGTCAAATAAATAAATAAAATCTTTAAAAAAATAAAAAAAAATTTATCAATGAAGTAAAAGTATGAAGCAACATAAAAGTTTAATAAACATCAGATTTAGAATAGTGAGACCTATGGATGAAAGAGAGGAGGATATGATTAGGGAGAATACACAGAGACTTCAGTTGTATTATTCTTAATCTGGATCCTGGCTGTTCTATTGCTTTTTATATTGTACTATATGTTAAATATTGCATATTTTCAAAAACAAATCTAGTATTTTATGTACGGTGGGTGGGTTGGTTGGTTTTTACGTAAACGGTAACATAGAGTTATATACTACAGTTCCTTTTTTTTTAAATTCCATATATCTGAGAGCTCTATCCATGTCTTATTTGCTTTGTATCCTTAGAACTTTGAAAGATGCTGTTTGCATAGTAGGTGCTTAATAAGTAATATTTGTGGAATTCTTTCTTCCCTTACCCTGATAACCTTACTGTTTTAACTTTCCTGGAGCCTGATCTAAATGTTTGTCTAACTATATGCCTCCGTCACCCTTTCCCTTTCTGCTTTTTAAAATTTTGTCCTTGTGAGGAGGGTTTCTAAATAATGGAAAGTGAAAAGTACCTAGGGTTTTCTCTATGCCAAGAAGATATTCTGTTTTTTTATATTTTCACCTGGGAAGAGAATTAAATATCTTTTCTAAGTGCTGTTCTAGGCAGCAAAGAAAATCCTGTGATAATTCAGTTGGGAACACTTAAAGTACTAACGTAGTATTTTAGCTTCACTTCAGAGATTCATACAGAAGGAGCTTTAAAATGAGTCTACTTTTCAATCTATCTTATTAGAGAGTTCCTGCTCTAAGCAAGTGAACTTGACCTTTCAGAACTTTTTAAAGGTGGTATCACTGCCACTGTCCAGTTTTCTGGAGCTGACTTGGTAGAATGGATGTAGTCTATAAGTTGACATTGTAATTGTGGTTCCAAACCAAGGCTATTTTTCTAACAGCCTTCATTCTTCTTTTAACTTAAGCTTTCACTGTTACTTTATTGAGGGAATAAAGAACAACAAAGGGAAGATCTGAAATATATCTTTAACAAACTAGTGACACAGATGTATCTGCGAACCTAAAATCCTCACAGGAGAGATTTTGGGGACAATTGACTTTGAAGAATTTGACTCGCTTGCTAGAGATTGTTGAGGTGCTTTTGAGAAATTTTCTGGATTGATACTTTTTGAGTTGTATCTTGAAATTCTGGAGACCTCTAGGAGAGCCGGGTAGCTGGATTCATAACATAAGATGGACTTCATCCCATCCTGGTATTACTGGGGGGAAATCATGGTACTGAGAAGTTAAATCATAATTCTGACCTTATCAGGTACTGATTTAAACATGGGTATGCTCTGAGTAACTAAATATTAACTAACTTTTAACTGTTTTGGTAGGTTTACCAGGATGATGGATAAAAATATTTACATCATTCAAGGGGAGATTAACATTGTGGTTGGGGCAATCAAACGAAATGCCCGATGGAGCACTCATACTCCACTGGTAAGTAGGGAATGAGCAGATAGCTTGGTCACTGAGTTGTAAGGGATCTGATGCATGGTTAAAACAGTAATCAATTTCCCTGTAATATTGAGAGTAGTAGGAACTCAGAATTGTTCTTGGTATCAAGGACCCTTTTATTTTTTAAAGATTTATTTATTTATTTGAGAGAGAGAGAGTGCACAAGTGGGAGGAGGGGCAGAGAAAGAGAGAGAGGGGGAAGCAGACTCCCCATTAAGTGGGGAGCCTGATGTAGGGGTTAATCTCACGACCCTGAGATCATGACCTGAGCTGAAACTAGGAGTTGGTCGCTTAGCCGACTGAGCCACCCAGGCAGCCCTATCAAGGACCCTTCTGTTTTATTCCAACTAGTGTCAAATTCATAGGCTGCCTTTTTTTTCTCTGGGACCCAAAAGATGATACTATTCTTCTAGCTATTTTTGTGGACAACTGAAGGTAGCACTCGGGACCTCTTAAATATGCCTTACCTTTAGATTCCCTAAGACTATAATTAGCTATCAAATTGATACATGCAGGGTGGCTTGGTGGTGGTACTCCTTGGGAGTATATAGAGCAGACCATATCTTGCCAATCAGATGAGTAAGAAATTTACCTGTTGTAAAGCTGTCTTTCTTTGTTGCATATGTATGTTCAAGGATATTTTTTGCACAGTTGTATAAAACAATATTTGGCACAATTGTAAAAACAAGTTTAGACATTTCCAACTCAGTGAATATATGTACATGTGTTTGGAAATTTCTCATGTTCATTTATAAAAATGGATTGTTTAGGGGTGCCTGGCTGCCTCATTCGAGGTTGGAAGTTTGAGCCCCATGCTGGGTGTAGAGATTACTTAAAATCTTATTTTATTATTATTATTTTAGTAGGCTCCACGCCCAGTGTGGGGCTTAAATTTACAACTGTGAGATTAAGTGTCCCATGCTCTACTGACTGAGCCAGACAGCCGCCCCAGAGACTTTTTTTTTAAAGATTTTATTTATTTTAGGGGCGCCTGGGTGGCT